GGCGCTTTGAGACCAGAGAAGGTGTCATACCCCTCGGATCTGGAGTTATAGGCACTTGTGACCCTCAGCGTGCGTGCTAGGAACCAAACTGGGAAAACAGCAAGTGTTCTTAACCTTTGACTCATTTCTTCAGTCCCTGCTTCTTCTTTCTTTTGCAATTTAAATGAAAAAGGGTTTTTAACTTTTATCTATTTATGTGTGTCCATCTGTTTTCACATTCATGTGGGTGTCTGAGGAGGCCAGAAGAGGGCACCAAGTCCTCGGGGCACTTGTGTGCTGCCTGCCCTGGGTGCTGGGGTCTGGATTCTATCCAGCCCCCATTGCTGTTGCTGTCTGAGGTCTTAATTCTGGCCTAGGATGCCCTCAAATTTGTGGTAAGCCTCTTGCTTTGCCTCCCAACACCCCAGGTTACAGGTGTGTGACACCATGACTGGATTTCCGTGTAATTATCATCATTTTTAATTTCTCCCATGTGGTTGTTGATAGTGAGTCCTTTTACATCAAAGGTTCCCAACTTGGGTGGTCAACTCAGGGACTTTCCTAAGGTCCTGTGCGTGCATGGCCACAGACATAGTGATCCTGTGTGGCCCCATCTGGACCTGGGACAGCAATGAGATCTGGTTCTTGCATGTGTGCCCTGTGCTCAGCGGGTGTTCAGCAGAGAAGGTGCAGGAGGAAGGGTGGACTGAAAGTCAGGGCCTTGAGCTTGGGCTTCCAGAATCAGCCTCTGGCTTCCTCCACAGTGGACATGGCCCCCAGCACAGCTGCTGCCTCCAAGAAGCCAGATCAGGACTCCTGCAACCTCTTTGGAGCAGCTGATGATGTGTGCATGTGTGTCCCACTGCGGGCTTTTATTTATTTATTTATTGATTGATTGATTGATTGATTGATTGATTCATTCATTCATTCATTCATATTTTCCTCTTTAGGCTTTCATGGTTCGGCCTGTCTTCTGGAACCAGTGCCACGGAATAAGAGGATGCTGAGTTCAGACTCGGGGCAGACCCGCCTGGGGGCAGGCATTCTGGGCTCTATGGGACCTGAAAGGGCTCCAGTACAGTCTGAACTATCTCCACACCCATCCAAGGAAGAGTGAGTTGAACACCATCTCTCCGCAACCCCTGGAAAAGCTGCCCCTGTAGGCTCGGAGGCAGCCGGCGGGTGGGCACAGTAAGCGAGGAGAGGTTATGAGAGAGGTTCAGAAGGAGCTCAAGTGTTATTAACTGCTCCACTCACTTCGCTCGGCCTGGGAAAGGCCACGCCTGTGAATTAGGGCCGAGCGTCTGCCAGGCTGGCTTAACAAAGACAGAGATGGGCTTCAGGGAAGTGGTGTCCCGTCCCCAGAGGTCAGAAGTCCAGCTCAGCCTGAATGGAAGGAAGGCAGAGATGCAGGGAAGCAAGGGAATCTAGGGGACAGAGCCAGCCTGGGCTAGAAAGAGAGAGGCCGGCTGGGCAGCATTTCCCAGCATGCAGCGAGGGCTCGCCTGTTTGGTCCAAGGGTTCAAGTGACCTGGAAAGGGGTGTGCTTAGCTCGGATGCAGACTCAGTCCGCAAGCTCATGCCAGGCCCTCACCGGCTCTCACTCCAGATCTGAAGGCTCGGGTAGGCTCAGGGTCACCGACACGAGAGGCTTCTCCTAGAGGAGTTTCTGAAAGGCATTTTCGCGCTGCTTATGGGTCACAGCAGCCTGGGAAGCGTGCCATGTCTCTCCAAGTGCACAGCGGGTTCACGTCCACCACACTGACAGTTACACCCACACACAGCCCTCACCCCTTGCCTGCTCACTGCCCTACCTGCTCTGTAAGGGGACCTCCCAGAGACAGCTTCTTCCCTGTCACTCCATCCCTGCTGTCCCTGTCCTCTGGGTCTCTGCACACCCCTCACTCTTGGCAGCTTCTGGGAGAGGCTTTGGCCGGAGTGGATGGTATCAGGGAGTCAAGGCGGCTCACTCCTGGAGTCACAACACTTGGGAGGCTAAGACTGGAAGGTCTTAGGCTCAAGGCCAGTTTGGGCTACACAGCAAGACCCTGTATCAAAACCAACCAACCAAAACATTAACCAAGGCTTGAGGCTGTAGCTCAGTGGCACAGTAATTGCCCAGCACATGCAGGAATCTGGATTTGACCGTCTAACACTGCAAAAATCAAACGGAATAAACTCCAACTCAGCTCAAATGCCACTTCATCTACGAAGCCATTTTAGGCTGGGTCTGGGCGTCTCACTCTGCCTCTCAGAGTTTCCTGGCATTTCTTGTCCCTAGACCTTGATTAAATGACTCCTTCCTGGGTCATTAGCCTCCTCAGGATGGGCAGAGCTGTAGTCGGTATAGCTAAATAAACGGCTAGATTTGTAGAGGAGGAAACCTTGGGAGCGTGGGCTGGCAGATTGCAGTGAGGGTAGCAGGCCAGAGCTGGCTTCTAATGGAGTCTGTAAAAGACTTGAAGGCAAAACCCTGCCTTGTAGACTGTTGGTCTTCAATTGATTTTTTTTTTTTTTAACGTCTGCTGATGTTTCATGGCTCTGGAAAACTAAGTTCTTAGGACTTAGTAGAGTACCAACGGCACACTGCATAAGAAGTGTACTTGTTTGCTGATAATGAGCCCATAGCCAACAGCTCGTTTTACTTGCCAGGATTTACTGCAGCCACAGACTACACTACCAGAGGGTGCACCGTTAGCACTGAGGGGGTCTGCTGAGAGGCGGCTTTCTAACCTGTGTAAGCACATCACTGTTCTCTTCTAGGGGGTGGTCGGGTACACGCTGAAGGTCACTGACAGACGCTCATGAAAAATGGCTGGAAGGATGGATACTGCGCCCACCAGCAGAAGGCTAGGAGACTGCATGGTGCTCCACTAAAGACAACCAAGGCTTGCCATGGCACTAGGATGGTCCTTTCGATGTTTAGAAGACACACATTCTAGAAAGATGAGGCTCTGAACTTCAAAAATAGATGCTGGAATTGTAAACTTCAGAATTCTAGACTCCTGCCCCACGGTTCTAGGGCTCTGAGATCCTAAGTAAACCACTCCAGGAATACCAGGGGAAGAGACAAGCTCCCTCCTCCAGCCTGGAGCCTGCCTCCCAAATCCACCCCACGCCCCTCCAGCTGCTGTTCCTCTCCCTCTTGCGCACCCAGTGCTCAGGTTCAACTCATCTAGTTAAAAAAAAAAAAAAAAAAAAAAAAAAAAAGCACAACCTGAGGCAGGATGCGCTGGCAAGCGGATGGGCCCTGAGCAGCCACTGGCCCCTCAGAGAGTTTTGCTCCAATAAACTGTCTCTCCTCTAGAGCTGGCTCCTTCTCAAGAAGCTCAGCTGAGGCCAGGTTAGTCCAAGCATACTTCCTTCCAGCTCCCCACCCCAAACAGAGGATAAAAGGTGTAAAGAAAGCATAGAATCCTGTGCTGCTTGTGACTACAGCCATTTCAGACCGCTAAAAAGCAGGCTGGCTTGGAGAAGGATGGAAAGCCTCCAGGTTTCTAGCCTCAGTCTTGCTCTGTGCATTCACAGCCCATTTCTTTCCCCATGCTCTAGAGCGCGCTGGAGGGCCACTGCCCCCCTGCCCACCCACTCCCACTAAGGCCCCAAGTTCAGTAAGAACACAGCACCACTTACAAGAGCAGAGAGTATCGGAGATTATTGCAGACTTTATAGAAAACAGCCCAAGGAAGGTCCAGATTTCACTGTTGAGGGTTGGAAAGCGGGCCTCAAGCCAATACACAGAGTAGGAAGACTTCCTGTGCAGAGGCAGCACGGGCCTGCCATTCTGCCTGACGTGGGGTGAGAGGCAGGGAGGCAATCCCTGCTCACTCACCGTTGTGCTTTGGGATCATGCAGAAGGCAGGGCACTGAGCCCATGACCTTGACCAGGAAGGCTTGCGACTAAGACTGAGACAAGAGGTCAGACTCTACCCCCTTCCAGAAGGCATGAGAGGTGGTGGCAAGGAGTCACCGGGAGAGGACCACATGGGGAGGGGACCAGAGAGCAACGGATGGATGGGCAGCAACTCCCAGCCTCACCTTTCCAGAGACCCTGCTCACCACCTGCGCCCTTTTCACCAGAGCCTGCCTACACGCCATGGGGGTGGCTGCCCTTTTCCCGAAGGATGGGAGAACTCCTGCCGGAGGGCAGTGTGTAGCACCCCACCACGGGGAGGTTCCTCTCCCGACCCTGGTCAGTGAATGGCTGGGCCAGTGAAAGTGCCAGGGATGGATGTCAAGGGAAAGGAGAGCCTAAGACTTGAGCCAGGGCTGAGGTGAAGAGCTGCATCAGAGACGTGAGGACGAACACCGAGTGTTGGGACACAGGAGCCCCAACAGAAAGGCTAAGGATGGATTCTACGTCAAGGCTTGTCCCTGGGATGAGAGGGACAAGGCTGGAGCTGAGACCCACCCAGGGCCAAGGAATGGAGGACTGCCTGAGCTAGAACCAGGGAATGAAGCACATCAGACTAGAGGAGGTTACTCAAGCCACGGAGCCTCCAGATGTGGGTTACACGATGGAGGGTCCAGGGTCCTGGGGTGGGACAAAGGCTCAAATTCCACAAAAACCTTCCGGTGAGACCAGAAGGGATGTAGGCCCCCTGCGCTCTGAGAAGGGGACTGAGGGCTCCTCGCTGGGGTCAGCGCAGTTCAGCCACGTGTCTGGCTCAAAGCACGCAGAGTGGGGGAGCAAGTGCTGGAGATTTCAAAACGGAAGAACGGGGTCTTCGGGTGAGCCTGGCGACCAAAAGGGATTTCCCAGCAAGGACGGGCAGGCAAGCTTTGTTTACGGAAATAGAGGGGTCTCTGGGATTTTGACCTGGAAGCTCTCAGGCTAGGGCAAAAGAGTACACTTTGGAACTTCGGGGTGGGGGAGACGGTACTACGATTTATCCAAAGGTCTCAGAGATCCAGACTCGAGGGTGTGTGATCTCCGGGGCTCAGGCCAGGCATGGGAAGGCTGGGTGGCCCCAGTGAAGTCATCAGCTGACAGGGACAGCCTCCCCCGAGGGAGGTGGGCCTCAGAGACCCGACCCCGGGGAAGTGGCCCGGGAGCCGGCAGGGGCGGCCGGCGCGGGCGCGCGGCGCGGGTCTGCATCCTGCTCGTAGCGGTAGTGGTAGCCCTCCATCTGGTCCCTGCAGGCCTCGCGCAGGTTGCGCATCCAGCGCTGGATGCCGCGGCGGTTTAGGTAGAGCACCATGAGGAAGATGAGGCCGATGAGAGCCAGCACCAGCCCGAAGAAGACGTAAGAGGCTTCCAGCTCCGGGCTGGCGACGTCCGCTTCTTCCCCGCGCCCGTTGGCGTCGTCGTCGGCGCAGCCCAGCCGCGCCTCATCCAGGTCCAGCAGGGGCCGGTCGAGCAGGACCCGCGGGGCGGCGCAGCGCAGGCGGCGCGCGTCGGGCACGCGCTCGGTGGCGTTGCGCAGCCAGGCCAGCAGGGGGCGCGAGCCGCAGCCGCAGCCCAGCGGGTTGTCGGCCAGCAGCAGGCGCGGCAGGGGCGGGTCGCCATCGCGCTCGAGCGCGCGCAGCTCGTCGGGGCCCAGGCCGGCCAGCGCGTTGGCGCGCGCGTCCAGCTGTTCCAGGCGCGGCAGGCGCAGCGCGGCGGGAGGCAGGCGGCTCAGCGAATTGCCCGCCAAGCCCAACAGGCGCAGCTCCGCCAGCGGGGCGAGCGCGGCGTCCAGGGCATCCAGCATCGCGGGGCCTCCCCGGGCCATCGCGTGATTGAGCTGCAGCGAGCGCAGCGCGGGCAGCCCGCGAAAGGCGCGGGAGCCCAGCGCGCGCAGCGGGTTGTGGCTCAGGTCGAGCGCCGCCAGGCTGGGCAGGCCGTCGAAGGCTCCGTCCTCCACCACCTCGATGTTGTTGTGCGTGAGGCGCAGCGCGGTGAGGAAGGGCAGGCGCACGCCGTCGGGCGCCTCCTCGTCCCCTCCCGCGAAGGCGGCCGCGCGCAGCACGGTCAGGTTGGCGCCCACGATGGTGAGGTTGCGCGCGTCGGGCGGCACGTCCCGCGGCGGCTGCCGGAGCTCCGCGCCCGACGCGCAGCGCAGCAGCAGCTGGGGGCTGCCGAAGCAGTAGCACTGGAAGGGGCAGGGCGCGGCGGGCCTGCTCAGCGCCGCCAGGAGCAGCAGCCCCGGCAGCGGGCTCCAGGGCCCCCGCTGTCCCGCGCGCGGGGCCATCGCGGCCGTCCCCGCATCCAGCCCCCGGCCCGCCGCGCTCACCAGTGAGTTGGGAGCGCTTGGTGATGATGGGATGGGGGTGGCACGGGAGGGTGGCGGTGGGCTAGACCTTGACTCGGAGCAGCAGACAGTCCCGATCGGTCCCTCCTCCTGCTTGGAAGGTCCGAGGAGGCTTCGCTTGGCTGGCTGGGGGCGGCAGGGGTCAGGCGGGGAGCCGAGCCCCCCGCCCCCGGTGCCCTCGTCGCCCTGCGCTCTGGCCTCCGACTTCCGCGGCCGTTCCGGGCTCCGAGCCGAGTGGGCAGGGTTTGCCTCCCCCTCCCCGCCTCCTGGACGCCTCCTCCGCCCCCAGCGGAGTCTCCGCACCTCCTCGCCGAGGGAGGCGGGGTGGGAGGCTCCGGAGCGGAGGGCCGCTGCGCTTTCCTGCTCCCCTGCTCTCTAGTTCCCGAGCAGCTGAGAAGTTTGGCTCTCCGAGCTTTGACTGCTTCTTTCCCCACCCCCTTCGTTTAGGCAGCTTCTTTCCTCCTCCCTCCCGGGCACATGTAGGGCGGGGCCTTCGGGGCTGACCGGGCAGGTGGGTCTGTGCACCCAGGCAAGGTGGAAGAGGAGTTTAGGGCTGTCACTGGAGGAGGTGACAGGGCTGAGGTGGTGGGCTGAGAAAGTTACTCTTCTTGTAGTTGAGGAAAGGGGCTCTGCTAAGGGAGCGGTTCTGGAAAATCCCTGGCCTTGGCCGCCTCCCCTGCGACCCCAGTTTCCTGGCGCGTCCGGTCTTTGGTCGACCCTGTCCCACACTCGAGGGAAGTGAGCAGCGCTCCCTGTCCCCCCCCCCCCACACACACACCCCTCACTCAGGCTGCTCGGCCGCTGACAGACCGCTCCCACCGGTTCCACCCTTCAGGCTGGACCCTTCCGAGGCTCGAGGAGGAGGAGTGGGTGGAGTGATTCAGCTCTTTGCCTTCCCATCTTGGCCCGGCACCTGAACACTCCCAGAATACGGTGGTCAGCTTGCTCCTTCCGCGCCCCCCAAGCTCCCCTACCAGGCAGTGTTGAGTAGGGTGCAGGTACCAGGAAGTCAGGTACCGATTTTGTAGTGCGGAGTCGGGGTGTGGTAAGACCCGGAGCTGAGGTGTTAATAGGTTTGTTTTGTTTTGCATTTTTACTTACTTTTTTTTTTTTTTTTTTCCTCTAGAACTGGGAAGCTCAAGACCTGATTTAAAGAGACAGACTCCGGAGGAGGGAGCATTCCTGGTCTTGGCATGAATTATTCAGGTTGGAGAAGCGGACATTTGATCTGCAGGCCATTCGAGTATCTTGCTTGGCAGAGCTGGTTGGGATAGAGGCGCCCCTCCTCCCCGAAAGAATCAGTCAGTCTCTTTCTCCTGAATTGGGGACAGTTGTTTGACTTTTCCCCCTGAAGTGGTACTTAGCAGATCGACCAGCAGCTTGAAACCACCTAAGAGGCACATCCTGCTTTGGCCTGGGTCTCAAGCAAGTACGGATGTGAAGGGCCAGCCAGGCTGGTGCTGGTAGGGTCCCTTGGCTCTTGTTGACCTGACTCCATGATCGCTCCCCCAAGTACTGGCAGTAGTAAATTTTACATTGACAGTTGCATACGCCTGTATTCATGGCCACAGGAGCTTATAAATCCATCTGCGCCTCTACACAGAAAGGCAAGCTTCACACAAACAGACCTACACATGTCCACGCGTGCTCTCTCAGATTCCTCTTCCTTGGATGGGCGTGCGTGTGCGTGGGAGGCTTGCACAACCCGCCCACAGCTGGTTCAAATAGATGGGTGCCCTACAGATACACACAGGCTCATTCGGGCCTGTGTGGCTTTGAGTGCGACCTGGCTGTGTGTCCGTAGATCCGGAAGCACACCTAAGTGCTTCGGTGTGCACTTCCTGAGCCAATGCAGCTTTCAGCCGCAGCCTCGGAGGGATTGCTTGCAGGGCTCACGGGCATAAGCAAACATGGCACCCACTCCTGCGCTGGACTGTGCCCTCGGCCTTTGAAGGTCTCAGGTACCTTTTCTCTGGTGCCACAAGCGATCAAGTAGTGAGTGACTGGAGTGGTCTGTTTCCCTGGATCAACTGCACGGAGACCTTCCGCCTCTGGCCCCCATGGGGAAGTGTAGGCTACCGCCAAGGCCAGAGCTCCCGCTCAGGTTTTCATGGTGGCTGACTCCTGATTGCTGCCGATGGCTCCCTTGGAGGGAAAGGGGCCACAAGGCAGCAGGCAGCCTCCATCGAGTGGCGCCGGCCGAACATCTCAGTTGGGGAAGTGAAGCCTAGGAGAAGTCTGTGATCGCTGGGCAAGGGACCCATGTTCTCTGTTGTCTGCGGAAATCGCTGTGTTCTCTGGAATAAGAGCCCCCTCTCCCTTCGGGAGCTGTCAGGGTATTAGGTACAGTCGGTGTTTCAATAAATGTGTATCCATTTGAGGCTGAGGCTGTCTTTGTTTCCCAATTCAGTCAGTGGAAGTATCTGTTCTTCGACTGTTTTATCTCCTTTGCGATGGTCTTCCTTAGCTGTGCTTCTCATCTTTTGGAACTCCATTTAGTGATCAGAGTGCTAAAACCCTCTCGGGCGCTTAAGCTGTTGGTAGTGAGGACTCCAGGTCAGTCTGGTTCCTTTGTTGTCAGGACACAGCTCAGGGCTCAACACAGTGAAGGAACCAGGGGTGAACCTTCACTGAAAGTCCTTGGTTTGAGGCCAGCTCGGTGAGGCTCCTCCATTCCTATCTACCAGGAGCCCCTCACTTGGAAGGTTAAGTGTTCCTGCCCACCAGGTTTGCAGCTCAGGTTTCCATACCTACTTTGCCCTGACAGTGCTCTGTGCCCCAGGCTTCTGCTCTCAGCAGGGTGACTTGGGATCCTGGGTGGTGAGCTGGCTCTCCCCAACTCTCCTTTAGCTAGGAGCTAGGGAAACACTGCATTATATCCAAGCAAAGTAACTGGCTGCCATGCACCCGCAGCGCTCCTCAGGGCTTCATGTTTGTTTGTTTGTTCCTGTTTTGAGACAGGGTCTTACCATGCAGCTATAGCTGGCCTGGAACTCACTATGCAGACCAGGCTAGCATTGAACACAGAGATATTCACTTGTCTCTGCCTCTCAAGTGCTAGGATTAAGGCACTATCATGCCTGCTTGGGCCTCTGTTCTTGAAATTCTGATCCTACTAGATCTCAGGACCCCTCTCTGAGCCTTGCAAGATGATGTTCCCCTCCTGTGCTCAGGTTTTTTCACTCAAGTGGGCCTTTTTTTTTTTTTTTCTCTCTCCTTGAAAAGAACCTGCTTCCTCTACACTCCAGTGCACCTCAGAGCACAGGCAGGTTGGTAACTTCTCTGGAGTCACCCAGCAGGCACCAGCTCCTCTGTTCCCTCAGAGATGCTTAAAGATCGCTCAGATTCTTGGGCAAGCCTCTGTGTTTCCAGACCTCAGTTTTCCTACTTGAAAAAAGAAAGAAACGGACAGAGGGCCCCTTAGTCATAGACACTTTAGATATTTAGGCATGGAAATAGTATATAACTCATTCCTATCTGTGCTTTCACCTTCCTATGTGGCCTTAAATTTGACTCCGTGGCACTTAAGACTTTAACTTGCTTAGTCATATAGTGAAAGCAACTATAATCTCTCTCTCCCTTCCTCCCTCTCTGTCTGTCTCTGTCTCTGACTCTCTTCCTCCCTCCCTCCCTTTCTGTCTGTCTGTCTGTCTGTCTCTCTCTCTCTCTCTCTGTGTGTGTGTGTGTGTGTTTTGAGGGGCCCTTTTCAGGTGACTTTCTTTGTCTACCCTTCTCTGAGGCAGGTGAGGAGTAACCCAGCAGCCTGGCGTGACTGTGGGGAGGCCCAGCTCCTCTCCTCTGTGCTGTCCTGGCTGAGAAAGGGGAACTTCAGTGTGGGCCTCCCTCTTCCATCACTCATCACAGCCTCCCTTCTCCTTGAGACACGGGAAAATCCATAGGACCAAGATTCATTTTCCCGGTTGAGTCAGCAGAGGCCATACTCTGCTTGGGAGGGGCAATTGGCTTTTAAATAACTCTCTGATGTTTAATACCCTCCTCTACTCTGTGGCCTGCCTCTTGGGAAGGCTAATAGAAATGAGTGGGCTGAGTCCTGGGGAAGCGTAAGTAAGTGCTCCTGTGCCCTCCACCCTCCTCCAGCCACGCTCCACTGACAAAGAGGATTCCGTTACTACTGTGCACTGAGTTTGATGGCTTACACAGGTGTTTCGGGTTGGCTTTCCATCCCTTTTAGAACCGAAAACTTAGCAAAGGGCAGAGATCCCAAAGCTTTTGATTTTGGTCTCCTTCTAGGGTGTGACGGAGGAGGCCACTGTCCCTCTCTGGGTTTTTAGGTCTTCACATGAGCTACTAGGTGGTTTGGCAAGAGGGTTGCTAGTGGTCCCTCTGCGGCATTGGGATGTCACGGTCTGAAGTGTTGCTCCAGGCTTCCTTCCCCAGTGGAAATGCCACGCTTCTCCATCCTGATTCTGGACAAGGCTAAGGGGAATGGCCGCTGATGCACAGCCAATGGTTGGTGCAGGGTACCATTGAGTCAGAGGCAGGAGAGGGTGGGGAGAGGAATTGTCGGAGCTGAGTCCCTTCTTTTCAATCCCCTCTGCTCCCCTCTCCCACCCTCTTCTCTTTCCTTTTGCAGATAAAAGTAGAGGCCAAGAGCAAGACCCCATTTTAATCTTGGTTCCCTTGAAACTCAAGGAAGGTCTCAGCATCTGTGGATGCAGTTAGAGGAGCTGGGAGCAAACCCCTCTTCCTCGGCTGCACAGGCCCAGGCTCCCAATAATGGAAATGGACGAGCTCAGTTCTGGCTTTGTGAATCTTCTGCACCACTCTGAAAACAGTGGTGATAACCGCTGGCTGTGAGGGAACAGTGGCTGCTTTAGAACTATGTGTGAGTGGCAGGGAGTTTGGGTCAGTGATAGAGCACTTGCCTAGCACACACCAGGTTCTGGGTTCAACTTTCAGCACCGAAAAAAAAAAAAACA